TTTTCTTTTCTTAGTGTGAGTGAAATTGGGACTTAAAGATTTATGTTTAATTAAATCTTTTCAAATACTTACTTTTTTTTCCATTTTAGAGATGTATCACTTCTATACATCTTAAATTATTTTAATCTCTTAAATATTTTTGATTATTTTTCTAAAAATTGATCAAAATTTTTAAATTATTTATACAATTTAAGCTCAATAAATAAAACGAGTTTTATCTTTCTAAATTATCAAATAAAAATTTCTTAAAAATATTTTAAATATTTTTCTTCTTTTTCTTTGAAAAATCGACGATTCTTTAATACATACTTCTTAAATAATTCTCTTAACAATTAATTTTTTGTTTCTATTAATGATACATACATCTTAAATTATGTCATTTAATGCCTTAAAAATATTTTCGATTTAATTTATTTTTTTAAAAAATGTTGTTGCTCATTGTCAATATTTTGTCTAAACTTATACATTCGAAAAAAAATTATACATTTTTTTTTTGAAATTATATAATTAAATCCACAAATTCTGATTTTATCCAATAAAACGGGGGTAAATAAATCTTTTTAAAATACTAGATATTAACCTACTTTCTGATTTTTTAAAAATTATTTTTATTAAAATTGGGTTTCATCGATTACCTTTTTTGAATTATATAATTTCAGATGTTTTAAATTTGTATTTATTTATGACGAAAAATTTGAATAAATATTTTCAATATTTTGCTATATTAAGAAAAGTTATATAGGTAGCTATGTATTTACTAATTTTAGTAAATTATTTGAGTGTATTTTTAAATAAAATTTTGAGAGTATTAAAAATATTTTTATAGTGAATATTTAATTTTTAATAAATACAATTTTGATAGTTATTTTGTACAAAAGATGGGAGTAGGGTGAAAATCGGGTTTCATCTTTAACTCAAATACCGTATTTTTCGATTAATTCTCCTCCCTCGAACCCCCTCTCGATTAATTCCCCATGCTAGAGGTGGGTTGAAACAATAATTCCCCACCCCAAATACCCTACTGAACGTTCAAATGCCAAAACTCAATAATTCCCCTCCCTTGATTAATTCCCCATGCCAAGGAAGGGTTGAAAAAATAATTCCCCAGGGGAATTATTTGAGAAAATACGGTATAGGTATATGTTTTATAAGAGGTTGTTATTTTACCAGTGGAATTTCAACGAGGGGTTTAGAGAAAAAAAGTTATTTGATCAGAATTTACTGGTTATTTTATTTAACAAGAGCTTTTTTTCTTCCCAATTCCTTCATTCTCCAAATTTATTTAGTAACAGCTCTCGTATATTCTCTAATATTGTGGTGTTTTAAATAACCTCCTTGGCTGTCACTTCTCTCATAATAACTTTCTTCTCGTGAATAACTTGCTATATTACTATCAAAACCATTATCAGATCCTTCCAATAAAGGAATAGCTGCTTGTATACAAAACCAAGTTAACATTGAGAAAAACATTCCAGTAGCAAAGGCAAATATATTTATAGGCGTAAATGTTGCAAGAAAAGAAAATATAGCCAAATAAGCAAAAAACAGTCCTGCTGAAATTAATAAACCACCTGAAATTCCCTCCAATATAGCTCCCCTTTTGTCGCGATGGTTTGTTATTAAACCTAAAAACGTTAAGATTTAAAGATAGGAATTGAGTTTCTAATTGTTCTCTCTTTTTAGTTTCCAAATTAAAAAATTAAAGGAATAATCTTTCTAATTAAAATCAGAAAAATATTAAAAAAAAAAACCTTTTTTTTTCGATATTTTCATTTTTTTCTTTAATTCTTTCAGTTTTAAAAAATTTCTAATTGCCTTCTTCAACAAAGCTAAGGGTTTTTTAAATGATTTTTTAAAAATTTTTAGTGAACGTTTTGTTCTACTGTGCCCTTCCGGCAATATTTTATTGTTTCTCTTTCCTTTTTTCCCCATTTTTATTTTTAAATATTTTTCTTCTTCTTTTAAAATTTCTTTAAACATTTTATTTTTTCTCAATTTTTTCTCCATTTTTTCTTCAATAGATTCACAATTTTTAACAGAATTAGGGTCATTAAAGTTTAATTGATCACAACAATTTTTAATATTTTCTTTTTCTTCTTTTCCAATATTTTTAATTATTTTTAAAATAAATTTTCTTTTTAAATTTTTAAAAAATTTAATTCCTTTTTTGAAAAATTTTTGTTTTTTTGATTTTGTTTTTAATTGACTACACAAGCTTAATAAACTGGCAAAAGCTTCGTTTATGTTTTCCTCTGTATTTTGATTTTTTGGATTTGGTAATACAGGGATTTTCTCTTCTGAAAAAAATTTGTTAAAGTAGATTTAGTAAGGGTTTCCCTTTTTTATTTTGGTAAATATAAGCAATTTTTTTTGAATGTTCTCGAAAAATCGAAATTATTAAGGGAATAAAACTTTGTCGATTAATTGAATGCTGACGAGTTTATTGTGAGTTAACCCTCTCTGCTATTCATATGTCATGTAGGAGGATTAAGGGTAGCAGCCCAATGTAAAGTGATATACAGCTGCTCATGTACCACCAGAGAGAGGAAAAAGATCAAGAATATCCTATGATTAGGGTTGACGATTTCAAACTAAACTGAATTGAAAACCCGAAGATTTTCGGTTCGGTTTGTCGGTTCGGTTAACCGAAAAATTTGGTAAAACCTACAACCCTACTTATGAACTAGAGAAGCCATTTATGTACTTCTGTTTTGCCCACAATCATTTCCCTAATATTTTTAAATTCCTTCCCTTCTTTCCTAACAGCAGAATAATTATTTATTTATTTTTTTAATATTTTTGTTTTTATTAAAATTAATTTAAAAAAAAATAATTAAGTTTACTCGTTAATTCCTCATTTTTAGATTTATTTTTAGAGCCCAACCAATTAAACCAAGTTTTTGATTCTTTTGAGGATTTAACTAAATTTTGAGATATTAAAAATTATTAAACTAAATATTTTTAAACCTTTTGTTGTATTTTCAACACAAATAAAGTAAATATTTAAAATTATAAAATAAATAAATAAACGCCAATGGCGCATAATATTAATAAATAAATTTATTTAAAATAATCTTCTTGAATTTTTAAAATATCCTAAATGGAAGGAAATGTTTTTTATTCAGAGAAAAGATAATATATACCCCCTGATACCTATTTTAAATAGTAACAGATTTATTGTTTGTTTTTTTCGTGTCAGACTAATTGGGGAAGGGCAGTACTATTTGAGAAAATACGGTAATAATTTTTAGAATTAAATATTCTCTTTGGAATATATTTTTATTTTTAAATTTATTTTGAAATATTTATTTATTTTAGAATTAATAAAAAGGAAGAGAATAAAAAGTCAAATGATATAGCCAATATATGGCATGCGCTTTGATTAATTGACTTGCACTTTTAACATCAAAGAAATCAATTAAAAATATTTTAATTTAATAAAAATTAAAGAAATATGTAAGGGGGGGGAGTCTTGACTGGAGATGAGCAAATTCAAAACTTGTAAAGAACAGAAATTTTAGTTAATTATTTTTTATCAAGATTGTATATTATCTTTTGAATGATATAACGTTGCTTAAGATTTGCTTACAACCTTATGAAGTTATATGGATGTAAACACCCCCCATTCTTTACTCGGAAAAAAAGTCTTGATTTAAAACATTTTTACCTATTTGTCTAAACGAGGATACAGTTAACTTATAGATATACTTCATACCAGATACATCTCTTTTTAATTTTTTTTTTTCCGACCTTAGCGATATTTCCAATAATGGATGCACTCGATTTTAAACACAATTTTTCAGCATATAGCTGCTGGTTTTAAAATATACATATTTTTGTTTAAATAAATGAAATATTTATTTACAAAAGAAAATAGAACTTTAAAAAAAAGTTTTTTTAGTTTTGATAATATAAATTGATTAATATAAGTGTTGACATTTGTGGATAAAAGAATGTTTGGTGCCTATCTAAAGTAGAAAACCCATGTAAACTATGAAATAATACAAACTCTAAATCCTTCCCCTCTAAATTATCCATTTCTAGAATCATTATCAGTTAGCCACAAATATCAATCACTAATTATATATATAAATGTACATAAATATATAATTGAGGTATTTTTTAAAAGAAATTTTCTAGAGAAATTAAAAAAATTTTCTATTTAAAAAATTATCTAAATTTTATCCAGAATTTTGTATCTTTAATTTCCCCAAAATGATAATTTTAAATAGAGGTTAAAAATAAAAATTTTTAAAAACCGCTAAACTAGCCAATTACAAATAATTAAAAAATATTTAATTTCTTAATAAAATTTTGGAAATTTTATTTTTCAAATTTGTGTTAGTTTAGCGTTTACCCGTTGCGGGTATAAATTTATGTTATAATATAAATATATTTTTTTGTTAAATATAAATAAAAAAATGCATAAAATATTTAATAAATAAACATCTTTTTTTTGTTTGGTTAACTAATTTTCTTCAACCCCATTCAATACCCTAATATGTATGTACATTTAAATTTTAAAAATTTTTAAAAGGAGTTTTTGCATTTTTGTTAAACGTTTGGAAAGTAATTTTGGTTGAAAGGTAGAGGAAATATATTGAAAACGAGAAGGAGATAAAACAAATCAGAGACGAATAAAGTTAAAAATCAAGGAAAAGGGAATGTTAAAAGATTAATTTTGTATATTTGGAAACAGTTTTAATTCTAAATGTCATAACGGAAATAAATCTGGCTAGTATTAAAAAGCTTAAAAGTTTAGCTTTTTAATACTAATTTTGCCTAATACTTACTTTATTGTTTTCATAATTCGATAAATACTTATTTGTGGATATTGGGTGTAATCAAATATATGTTAGAATTTAAACTTTACACAAATGTAAAAAGTGTATCCATTGTAGAAGGGGGGGGTGTTTAAAAATGAAAGAGTTTTTTAGTTGGGGGGGGGGGGGGGGGTTATAATATATACAATTGTTTACTTCCTTTGTACATACTTCCTTTTAATCATCCTCTTCAATAATATCAATAATTGTCTCGCTTCGGTTTCTAACAGTTTTGACTCGTCTAGTTCTAACTTTTTTAGATTTGCGAATTTCCTTACGAGAACTACGGCTAGATGAACGTCTAGAAGAATGTGAACGTCTATGTTTGACAATCCTTTTTTCTTCGTGTTTAACCAAATTTCCTTTACTGTCCTTTTTGTGATAATAATGCCCTTCTTTTTCATAACTTTCACCTCTATCCTTCTTCTCCAATTTTCTAATAGCATATAAACAAACCCAGGCTATCCCTCCAAAAAACGCTGCCCCAGCAAATCCAATTATAAAACCTGGAGTTACTATTAAAGGTAACAGAATAGAAAGACCAATAACAATTGAAATTATTCCACCTGCAGCAAGCAAAGGAATAAAAAAATATTTTGTTAATGCTCCTCGTTTTGTACGAACATTTCCTTTGAGAATTAAAAATTTTTTAAATTTAATTTTTAAAAATATAATAAAATCTTTTTTGTTCCAACTAAAATAAATAGATATGTTTTTTAAACATATATCTGCGTTTATTTAATTCTTAATACTCCCCAATATGTCGGATCGGAATCCCGACTTCAATTTTTTTAATTTCCGCTTTTTGGTTTATATAGGCTAGTTCCGATTTCCGACTTCCTATTTCTAACATACCGTATTTCCTAAAATAAAGCCCCATGGGGCTCTATTTTTCAACTATCCTCCAGAGTGGGGCTCTATTTTAGGGTGGGGCTCTAATTTAGCATGGGGCTCTAAATTTCAACCTATTTTTCAAATTACAAAAATGAAAAATAGATTCTTTTTATTTACGAAATTTAGGAAAAATTTTCGATTTTCAATAATTTTTGCAGACTTAAGATTTTGTCTATCTTTCCAAAAGTTTCTTCTGCGGCGTTGAAAATAAAGAAAGCTAACTCCTTGGCCTTCCAAGGCTCTCAAAAATTTCGCCTTAAAATACCCTAATGTTCAATAATACTTTATTCCCTCAAATCCCTTTATTCCCCTTAAACTCTTAATAAATAATAATAAAGCGGTTGGTCCCGTTTCCCAATGCCTTCAAAATGGGGTTATTGGATTGGAGTTTCACAAGCGTCCTTGTGTGAACTCCGCAAAGTATAGGACATAGGCAAGCGTGGGATATAGGGGAGTTTTGATCGGGAGACGTCTTCCCTCAGAATCAGACACTAGGACTGACTGACATCCTTTTTCGGACTGACAACTTTTACTCACCAAAATATTACAATATCACTTATAATCCATTTAAATTTGCCTCATTCAATATCCCCCGAATGGACACTTAAATTCCTTAACCGGATTTTCTCAGAATGGCAGTTTGTGCTAAACTTCGGATTGCTCTGGGAAGGTCCCTTAATCCAAAATAGCTCCCCCAACCCTCTTAATTTTAATCTCTCGATATCCCTTTTAATCCCCAAATTCACTAACATCCATTTACTCATCCAACCCCTCTCCCCTTTTACTCACATCTTAACAATTTTGTTTACCAATTTGGAATAAAAGTAAATTTAAAAAAGTGAGGTGGGGCTCTATTTTAGAGTGGGGCTCTAATTTAGCATGGGGCTCTAAATTTGAACTATCCTCCAAAGTGGGGCTCTATTTTAGGGTGGGGCACTAATTTAGCATGGGGCTTTATTTTAGGAAATACGGTATCTACTAGTTTCCAAGAAATAATCCTTCGGACATATTTCCTTCTAAAAAACTTTTTTTTGCCAAGTTTGTGGTTTGGTTTCAAACACTTTTGTTTTCGGGATCCATAGATACTTGGTTAGGCACATTGTTCCGCCAACAGATTATAATAAAAATATTTTACCTGGACTTTTTGTATCCTTGTTATAATAAGTTTTAAGTTCTTTATAAATTCCAATTGCTTTCATCAGGGCTTTCTCGGTTTTTGATTTCTTTTTTTTATTTTTTCCTTCTCCTGAATATTTTAAAAATGTCTTATCCTTTTCAATTTTCTCCATTCCTTCATTAAAAATACTTCTACAATCCTCTAAAGATTCTGGATTATCATTTATTTTTCCACAACATTTTTCAAGTTTTACTTTATACTCCTTCGGTATAACTTTTAAAACTTTCGACATAAAATTTAATTTTGGCATTTTAAGTTTTTTAGGGATTTTAAATCCTTTTCCTTTCCCTTTTCCTTCTCCCTTTATTGGCTTTTTGTCAATTTTTGATTGAGCACACAATGATTTAATTTTTTTAAAAGTTTTATTCAAATTCTCGTCTGGGTTTGTGCTTGATTTTAAATCCACGTTTGGTTCAACTGAAATTTTTTGTAAATATTAGGGAATGCTTTTTTCTAGGGATACTGCCATTCCGATTAGGATATCAAAAAATTTATTTCTTATGTCGGCAAAATCCCTAGTTTTTACATGGACTCTTTATTGTGCTTTCCTTCCTCCACATTTTAAAATATGTATTGAGGACCTCCCTGGTTCCCTAATAACTTGGGGTTAAAAGAATATTCGCAACATTAATATACATAGACAGATAACATTTAGTCATTTTTTGTATTCTAATCTTGAAGTGTTAAAATTTTAATTTTTATGTTCTGACAAGATAAATTATCGGATTTTTTGCCCAACAATAAACCAAAAAATATCACGGATTTTACTATAACTGTGTTCACCGAACATCTAAAAGTCATACGTTTAGTTTCTGCTTCCAATTTCAATTCCTTTGGTTTCACTTCATCAATTTTCTGTTTTTCAAACTTGCCATCAACTAAAATTTCAAAAAATTCTAAAAACAAATATTCCCTACTACCTTTTAAAGTTTCAACACAAATAAAGTAAACATTTAAAAGTGTAAAATAAATAAGGAGTCGCCAAAGGCGCATAATAAAATGTTTTTTTGATTTGTTTAAAGAGGTTGTTGGTTGTTATCTTAAAAATGTAAAGGATGTAGAAAAGAAATTTTTTGTTAAAATAATAAATTCTGATAAGAAAAAATTCTAAATTATAGGGCATTTAGTTTTAGGCATAATAGATTTTTCTATCACACAAAAAATACAGAAATGTCTCATCCTAACTAAAAGAGGTTTAGTCCTAAAAATTTGTTACTTATCGGTTATCCCCTGGCAACTAATTTTACCATCTATACCGATAACTAATATCTCATGGCTTAGAACTGGTACCTCGATGTTCGGGTACTTATGTGGTCGGGTACCTATATATTTAGGATAAGAAGTCAAAAATTTTTCTTTAACAAAAACTTTGGCATAAATTTTTAAAATAAGATTAAATTAGCGACTAATCCCTGCTTCCCCTTCACTCTCCTTCCCTATATTTTTAAAGTTAAATTTTTCCTAATTTAATTTTTATTTTAGAATTTAATTTATTTTAAAAGTTTTTTTTAAATTTTATTTAAATTAAATATGTAAGATGGCAAGCAAGAATTAAAAAAAATTTTTATTGAATGAAGGAGAGAGGGAAATTTATTTTCCTCTCTATCCCTATACAATGAATGCCCACATTCTCTGCCCATAAAAAAATCAAATTATTGAATTTTTTTAATTTTAAAGAAAAAATCAATCAACTCCTCGTGGGAAGGGCAAGAATTAAATTTTAAATAAAATTTTTTAATTAAAAATTAAAAAGTTTTAATTTAATAATTTGGAGTTAAAATAAAAATAAATTAGATTATCTAAACAAAAATAAGTTGGAAAAATTAAAAAGTTTTTTGGAACTTAAAAAAAATTTCCTGTTAAAATATTCAAAATTAAAATTTAATAAAATAATTAAAACCAGACGTCTTATTACACGTTACTCTATTTATATATTGATTCTCTAATTAATAATTCTAGACATTTAAATTCTATTGTCTGGAAATATATCGGAGATTGGGACCTGTCAAATTTTAAAAATCAAAATATGGGAGATGGAAGTATGGGAATAGACTGGGAGTGTTTGGCAATAAAGTTAGTTAATAACTTTAAAAAATTAATTTGGAAAAAGTTTTTTTAATTGAATGGGTGGAATCCTTATTTTTATATGTTCGTTCAACAAAAAGTTGAGAATTTTAAAAATAATTATTTTCTTTTAAATTCCAAAAAAAAATAAATTTTTAAATTTATTCGACAAATCAAATAATTAATATTTTAATTTTTGGAGTATTTTTTATTTGTGGTTATATATTTAAGGAAGGAAAAAAAGCAAATTTAAATATACACGTAAATTTAGAAAAAATATTTTAATTTAAAAAAAGTTGCTCGAAATGTTAAAAATTCTTTGGATGAATTAAAAATAATTAGGTTAAATTACCTAATTTAATTTTTTATGTTCAAAAATTATTTTTTCTTATTTTAATTTTTTAAGAACTTGAATTTACTAGTTCGATGGTTTTGAATTTTTAAACAACTTTGTTTGTTTTAAAATAAAAAATATTTTAAAAAATATTAATAAAATATTTGTTAATTTAATAATTTTTTTGAAGAATTTTTGAACATATTTAAAAAAATAATTAGGAGAAATAAAACAAAATATTATTAAAAAATATGAACAGACAGGCCTTTTAAAAATTAGAATATATAAAGATTGAAATTTATTAGACAAATAATTTTGAAAAACAATTTTTGCTTAAAACAAAAAATGACCGAAAAATACAAAAAAAGAATTAAAATAATTTTTAAAAACAAATTTCAATCTCTATAAATATATTTATTTGTGCATTAAAAGTGCAAAATCAAGTAAATGAAGGGGCGAAAACCCAGTCCAAATTGGGGGAAGAAATAATTAAAAAAGGAAAGAATTAAAATATTAATTAAAATAAATAATTTAAATATATAATTTTGAGGTTAAAAATAAAATAAAAAAGAAAATATTAGAAAAAAAGAAGAAAAAAAACACACTCGAATAAATCTTGGAATTGGGGTTTCGCTCGATTCATTTTCGATTTATTGTGGTTAAAAAAGAATAAATTTATTTAAAAAGATTAGTGACCAGAAAATTAAAATATTCAAATGTAGAGGGTATTTAAAAATAAATATTATAATTATTAAATACAAGGGTTTATGTACTTTATTTAAAATCAAATAATAATTTTCTGGTCACCAAAAAAAAGAATTTAAAAAATAAATAGAAAGTGTGATTATTTTTGGGGAATTTTTGGATTTTTTGAAAAAATTTTGGAAAAAAACATTTTCAAAAAAGAGGGGAGAGGGAAAGTCCTCATTTTTAATTAAAAAATATATAAATAATGGAAAAAGAAAATTGAAAATAATTAAATGAGGAGATTCATTCGGTTGATTAGACTCGGCGATGTTTTTCAGATTTTGTTTTAAAACTCAGTTAAAAAAATAACTGATTATGTGGTAATTATTAAATAAAAAGAGGAGAGAAAATTAATTTAATTTTAAAAATTATCAGTGAATTTTATAAGAAAATTTGAAGTTTTTAAAAACAGAAATTTTGGGGATTTATTATTAAATTTAATCTTTTCCTCTTTTTATAAACAAAAAAATAATAATTTAAAAGAAAATTCTAAATACCTAAATTTAAATTAATTCTAAATTTTTTAAAAATTATTTTAATTAAAAAAGTGTAGTAGAAGTTGTTGTTGTAGTAACAATACATTCTCTATAGAAAATTAAATTGAATTCGTCAAAACTTCGACCTTTTTGTTTTTCCTCCATTTTACAAAGTCCTGTTGAATGCCCAATTCGAAATCTAAATTTGAAGAAAAATTAATTTTTTAATTTGTTTTTGTTAAAAAAAATAAATTTTTAATCAAAATTAAATAATCCAAAAATTATTGAACAATAAAAATAATTTTCGTTAATTAAAAAATTAAAAATTTACTTATAAGCACTTTGCAAAAATGACCCAGCAGAAATTTCAAAAATATTATTAATTCCAATCTATAAATAATTAAATCAAAATAATTTTTAACTTTAAAAAAACTTTTTGTGAACGAGGTTTTGATTTTATATTTTTCCCTCCTTCATTAATTAATTCTTCTTCTTCTTCAATTAATTGTTCATTTTGATTAAAATCGTTTTTATTTAAATAATTATTACATTCTTTAAAACGAAAACCAGAAAGAGAACCACAACTTTCCACAAAAAGGGAAGGATCGGCAGAACTAAAAAGATTTAAAAAATATTTTTTATTAAATAAATCAGGCAAAATTCTTTCTCAGCCTATCAGATAAGGCTAAAATGAGAAGTTGTGCGGGTAACCCCTGCAATCAAAGGCCATGCTCAGGATTAGAGTTGCCGTTTTCGAGTCGGGTCTGTACGAGTCTTTTTCGGCCAAATATCTTAGGCCCGACTCGATCTTTCGGTCCGAGTCGGTCCATTTTGGTAACCCCACTCAGGATAAAGTTTTATCTATATTTTTTAGGTGGATTCGGTTGCTTTACTATAAGGCCTAATCTCTATTTTATTCAACCCCTTTTTACATTAAAAAATATTTTTAATTTAAAATTAATTTACTTTATTTTTAATCTGAGGGGAGCAGTTGTTAAATCAGAAGAAATTGGAATATAAAGATTATAACGTCCAATTCTCGAATTACAACTATTTAAAGTATTACATAAATTATTAGAATTATTTTGACAATTTTGTTGTAATAAACAATAATTTTTATCCAAAATAATTCCCAAATTTAAAATCTCTATTTTAACACCATTTTCGAAATTAAGGTTTGACAATGTGTTTTTATTATTCTAAAAATTAAAAATTAATTTTAAAAATTATTTTAAAATTAATTACTTGTAATAATGCTTGTATTTGTTTATCTATTAATTTATTTTCAGAATTCTCTGAATTTTTGGAAATTGGACAACAATTGTTTTGACAATTTGGCTTTGTTATTGGACCTTTAATTGAAAAAAATATATTTGGAAGTTGGGAGGATTTTTTTGAATTTTAAAGTAATTCTGATAGTGAAATTATTATCCCTTTAATTAGGAGGGGACTAAAAGAAATAACTAATGAAAAAAGAGTTTGTCTTTATTAAATCATCTAAATCTCTGGTGATGTTCAAAAACTACATCTTAATTGTTAAAGGAACACATCATCCCCCTTAAACATTAAATATGGAAGTAATTGAAAAATAGTAGATAATCATATTTAGAGGACGGATCATTAAATATCGGAATTCTAATATGGACATTAGCTGGAGCCTTTCAAAAGAGAACGAGTTTTTTTTATCTATATACTGATAATTTGTAGTTAAATCAGTAAAATTACCAGAAATAAAAGGATTGTTTTTATCAAAATTTGTTGAGCAATATTGCAAAGAAATAGGTAAAATATTTGATTGTAAAGGTGGTATCCAATCAGAATCTAAAAGACCCCTCATTTTGCCTGGTGGAGGGGGTCTATCAATATCTGAAGGAATTGGTTGAGAATCTGTAGGTTTTTGGTGTTTTTGTTGTTTTTCTGTTCCTTCTCCCATATAAGGGTGGTAATGATGAAAGTGGGGGGACAAGTAGGTACGATTATACCAGTCAACGACATACAGAGTACACATAGTTACCAAACTGAAAAGAATATAAAAGTTTAGCAAAAATCTGCAAAATTTGTCCGCAAAAATAAAAATGATTTTTGCGGACAATTACTGTAAAATAATTGAAGCCTTTAAAAATCCCTACCAAAGTGCCATAATTACAACCAACGTAACAATAGTTCCCTGAGTAAATTTCGAATTGCAAAGAGCTGCTTCCTGTCCGCGGCAATAAACTTGTTGTCTTCCACAATAAGCAGAAGCTGAAGAATGAGAACGACAACGATGTTTTCGAGGAGGAGATGGGGGTGGTGGAAGAGATGACTTTTTATCACGTTTTCCGGCATTTCTTGAGCCTAAAAAATTTGGAGAATAATTTTAAATATTTTTCTACAAAATTTACTATTTCTTGATCTATTCTTTGATGATTTATCCTTAATTTCGTCTTCATTTTCATCATTATAAGCAATAGCTGGAGCAGTTGCTGCTGAAGTTAAAGAAGTTCTCGATTGTGAAAGACTTTTGTCTTCAAAAGTATTTTGGAGATTTTTTGAAGAAAAATTTTGTCCAGGAAATAAAGAAGAGAAATCGCTTAATCCAGAAGCCATTGAACCTAATTGGCGGCGTTTTCTTGCATATTGAGCAAGTTTATGAGAAATACGTTCAACTTGGCCGATTTTACATTCCAAATTGCCTGGAAGGATAATAATTTAAAAAAATTATAAATTATGGCAATTATAAAATTATTAATCGAATGAAGATCAGCGTTAATAATTAAAGTCAGACAGAGAAATCATCAATTTACATCCTTAACTTTTTTGCTTCGTGCCCAAACCTCATAACAAACCCAAAGCCCCCCCCCCCTCTATCCTATAAACAAATTTAAAACTTCGACACAGATACCAAACCGCCCCAGAACGCCTGGAATGGAGACTAAATTCATCCGATAAAGATTTTAATTTGAAAACACACCAGTCAAACGATAAAGTTCCTGAGCAGCAGCCACAGTATCATAAAATATTCTCGTATCATCAACAGTCAAAAAATCTCCATTATCCTTAACTGCCTCAGGCAATACTTCTGCCAATTCTTGTGCTATAACCCCAACTCTGTGTCTATCCCTTTCAGAAAGTCCCCAACGTGCAGCAATTTCTGGTTTATAAGCAAATTCAACAAGTCTCATTTGTGCAACTCTCCCCATCGCCTCAGCAGTACTTATCTCTTCAATATCTTCTTTTAAACGTTTATCTGATGGCCGAGTGATTTGTCCGCTTGCAGCAATATTTCCATGAACTGTCAATTGAGCATCTCCAATTGGTTTATCACTTCCAATACAAACAGGTCCGGAGAAGGTTAAAGCACCGTTTTGGTTTTTCCATGATTGGTCTGATTCTGGCTGTTCGAACTGGCCCGGATTGGAGGCCTTTAAAAGTAAAGAATTTTGGAAAGAATTTTTGAATTAAAATTTTCTATAAAAATTCCAAAAATAAATTCCCCTACCCTAACAATAACTCTGTCAGAATGAAATGATTGAACAAGTACTTTCCTTGTTTCATCTCCAATAGCTGTTTCTACACTTAATTTCTGTAAAAATTATTTTTTTGTTTAATTTTAAATTATTTAATTCACCATAACAAGTAAAAAGAATTTTTGTTCAGGATTAGGTTTTCCATTTTTTCGGTGATTATTCATTGTTGTCTCTGAGAAATGAAGACGAGGAACTGTTTGCTTTACTGAATCTTGAGTTCCATCAATTGCAAAACTTTAAAAGATTTGTTAAATTATAAGTAGACATTCGGACTTGTCACAGCAATCTTTATGATATCCCAAATATCGGCCGAGATAAATTAAAGATTTGGGATATGGAATGGGGATTGAAAGGAAGGTGTGGGATAAGTAAGAGCATTAAATAATTTTTTATAAAATTTAAAAAATTTTACCAAACAGGCATATGATCAATAGGTTTTCTGTCAGTTTGCGATTGTTTTATTGGAATCTCGTAGGTTTGCATATCACTTTTAACACCACAAAAAGATAAATAGAATTTCTGTAAAAATATTAAAGTATTAAATAAGGAATAATATTTAGAGTCAAACATCACTATAAGATACATCCAATACTAAATCAACTTTATTTTGGGATACGTTTTAAAGTTTATGGAAAATGGCTGGAGAAGCTGACTAGATAAACCTCTCAATTAAAGATAAATCTCATTATAAAATAAAAATTTTTGGACCATAAGGGTGTATTTTTTTAGTGAATTCTGATTTTATTAAAAAATAATTTCTTTACTTTATCAACAATGGGTAACAAAACAACACGTCCATGTAATTCTGTCCGCACATAATGAGGTGCAAATTGGTGTTGAATCGTTTGTTGTCCATTCCCCATTTGGGGAGAATTGGCATTAGCCATTGGATTAACCCCGATATTAACGGTTATTTGAAAATGATTTTTCTTTTGATTAACAAAACAATTATCTGATGGGCTAAAATTAAAGCCTTTGTCTGCTACAACAACAACTAGAAAAAAGGGGAAAAAGTTATTCAACTTAAATTTCAATATACAAACTTGGCATAATTGGAAGTGGTTGCTGGTTAATATCAAATAAAGTAGCCCAAGATTCTCTCAAAAATGGTTCAAACTTTAAATTTAAAAATTTTAAAAATTATTTTTTAATAAAAAAATACTTTAATGGTTCTCTGTGTTCCCCCAAAATTATTATCTTCCAAATCTTCAAAACTTTGTTGTTGTTGTTGTTGGTGGTGGAGAATATTTTGGCGTTGTTGATGCTCCTAAATTAAAAGAAATTATTTGATAATTAAAAAAGAATATTTTTAATTCCAAATAAATTTAAGAAAATGTTTTAAAACAATTTACCTGTTGTTGGTTATTAACAGTTCCATATTCACATTTTATGTTAGGTAAATTATTGCTTTTACTCAACAACATTGAATCATTTGAACTAAAATTAGTAATTGTTTAGATTTATTTTAGATATTCGAATTAAATCAAGGTGTTTAATGTTTGAATATTAAGATTTTGGAAGGCATTTATTTACTTAAACTTTTTCAGATTAATTGGAAATTCCCTCAAAAATATATTAAAAACTCAAAAAAATCTCTATTTCCACCTTTGATTAGTCGAAATTCTTCTTCTTTTATGTCCCCCTCCACGATTGTTCTGTTGCTGTTGTTGTTGTTCTTGTATATAACGATTAGAAGATGAAGCTGAATTTTGATTTTCGATAATACATAAATTATCCATTGAAGAAGAAAAAGAATGTTGTTGTTGTTGTAATAAATAATTATTATTGTTGTTATTATTAATCATTATTTGTCCATTACGTGAAGATGAATTTGGAATTGCTGGTGGGGAAATCTGAAAAATAAAACTTTAAGTTTGTAAGAATTTTGATAAAATCATTTTGAAATAGTAAAGGACAAGGTAGAGGATGAATTAAACAAGGAAATGTTCTCATAATTGAAATTAAGATATAAAGCTATAAAGTAGACGGGACACGCCCAAGTAGGCGCGCGGCCATGAAGGCGCAAAGCCATAACTTGCTGGAACATCTCTGGCCCTTAACAATTCTGGTACCAAACTCATTAGCTTGATGAGAGGAATCTTTAATACTAAATGTGGTAAGATCGGAAATCTTGAAGCAAGTTATATGGCTTTGCGCCCTTGTGCTGTACCCAAATTAGGCAATTTACGATTATTGTTTAACTAACTATATAGGTAGGTTACTTAATGTTGTTAATAATTAGAGACGTTTTGGCTGAATTAAGGGAGTTAAAAAGGAAGCACTAATAATGGGAAAGTTAATTTTCATATTTAAAATTAAAATAAATTTAAAATTCATTTGAACTATGACTAACAAATAAGATGTCTTAATAATATAAGCAAGCACCTGTGAAGAATGTTGTGAACCAGGTGTATGTTGAGAAGATGCTGAATAATGTGTCAGAAATTCAGATTGTGGGGACAAATGATGTACTTCTGAAGTTGCACTACAAACATCTGTAATGTTTGTTGTTGTCATGTGTAATTGGTCGACAATTAAAATATCTTCTGGAGGTTTTCTTTGGGTTTGAGGGCGATTAAAATTTTGGGGAAGGTGTTGACGATATTGTTGGTGTTGTTGTAATAAAATATTAGCTGCATTATTCATGTGTGGGGCTATTGGTAGATAACGTTGATCAGGGGAGAAAGGACTTTCTGAGTCGCAACAACCACCTTTTTTTTAAAAAAAAGAGGGGGAATTATTTAATTATTGAATGGTAAAATATTGAAGCTCAATAATTTAATAATGAAAAATTTGAGAATATTTTGGGATGGATTTTTCATAAAATATTTCTTAAAGACAGCCTTTATATTTTTAACAACAAAAAACTAAACCAGAACTTCCTGGAGAAATAGAACTTGCACCACCAGAAATATCAGTAATTGGAGGGCTATCAGGTAATCGTGTTTGTCCCCCTCCATTATTATTCCCAACTCTTCCCCCAATATTTCTTTGATTATTTAAATAATGTTGGTGTTGTTGTTGATTATTTAAATGTCTACTATTAGAATTATTATTAATTCCCCCTCCTCCATTATTATTATAAAAAATCATTGAAGATTGAACAGAATCTAACAAAATTGAAGGATGTCGAAAATGAATATTTTGAGAATTTGGTGAATTTATTTCTTTAGAAAATTGGTGAGTATTTTGTTGTTCTTGTTGTTGTAATGATTGAACAAATTCCCCTGCTGCTGTAGTTGAAGGATTCAGAAAATTTAAATGTCCAGAATTGCCAACAACTGTATTATTGTTTGGAACTACAACACTATAGAAGGCGTTAACTGGACTTCCTTCTGGTGTTCTAAAATTTCTAAAATAATAATTCTGTTAGAATAACCCTTTAATTTAAATGTTTTTAATCAGTGTAAAAGGTTTGTACAGAAATAAAAATATTTTGAGTATTCTCAAACCGTCTAAAATTTTGTATCTTTCCTTAATTTATCTAAAGAAAATATAATTCTTACTCGTTTCCGCCGTTTATGTAATCTAAAATATCAAAGTTATCGTTGTTAATCAAAGGATCGCCAAAGCCTGACTCTTCTGTAAATTAAATTTTTATTTAAAATGGAAAATTAAAAAGATTTAAAAAACTATATATTTTCTAAATTTCTCCATTTAAAGGGTAAAAAAAGTTTTTAACATATTTAATTATCTTTTTAAGGTATAATATTCCAGAATTGGAAAAATAATTTTTTCCTATTTATGTTAATTAATCAAATAAGGTAAATCTAAATAACGAAATCTAAATATGTACTATTTAATGTACCTAGAAGGAAATATCCTTATTTTTTAAATGCCTATAAAGGATAAAAATTTAACATCGAAGACCTTATTTTAAAAATTAATTTAAATTAATTAATCAAAATCTCTACTTAAATTAATTACCAGTTTTTGTTAAAAATTTAGCCATTAAAGAAAATAAATTATAATTTTTGGCATTTGAGTGGGAAAATTGTGTTGTATTTTAAATATAAGTTGAAAAAAAAAATTATAAAATATTTTTAAAAATGCTGAGAATAAAAAAATAATTTTTAGAAAATTAAAATAAAATATTTAATTTTAATTTAAAATAAAAATGTCAATAATTTAATATTTTAAATAATTATTAATTAAAAGTATTTAAAAATTAATACTCGGTAATCTCTATTATGGTGAGTCAAAAAATGTTTATGTACTGTTTTTTGATTTTAGGCTATAAAATTGCGTAGAAATTGCGTAGAACCCTAATAGCTTGACGAATTTTGATTTTTGAGAAAAACGCTCAAACATGTCAAACTAGATTTTGATCAGGCTTCCGATTGATTACAGATCATAATATTGCTATTTATGTTTTGATTTTTAAATCAAAGTGAACGCGAACTTTTGACTCATCCTAATAATAAGTATGTATTTTTAGATTAATTTATGTAAAAATTTAAAAAATGAAGGATGTTAAGTGTGGATAAATAAATATTTTTAATTTTAATGAATTTTTATTAAATTTATTTAAATTAAAGTTTATAAATGTAAGGGCAATTGTACATACGTATAAGAAAATTTCTTTCAAATCACAGTTTGCATAAAAAATCTTGCAAATAAAAATGATAAGAAAGATTATTTTTATTTTTAAAAAAATTAATATAAGCAAAATTTACAAAAATATTAGAGAAAATATATCCATTAAAAATAAATCCTTTCAGACAAATAAAATACAAAAATTCGATAATTTTTGTGTGGAAGGAAAAAGATGATTATTGGGGGATGGATGGAAAAAAGGAGAGAAGAAAGGAAGACTTGCGCAGCTTTACATAGTTGTGATCATTCAAAAATAAAAAAAAAGAAAAAAGGCAAAAATAAATTGCACAGTCTGATTTAAAAGATATATTGAAGAAAAGGAAGGGAAATGAAGGGAAGGATAATGGAAGGAAGGAAGGATATTTAAAAAAAAGTAGGAGGGAGGAGGAGGGAGGGAGGGAGGAGCTTTTTGGTCAAATGATTGTGTGTTTTGTTATGAAGGTCACTCAATTCTCTGTTTAGGTCTTTTCCCAAAAACCTTTTTTCTTCTTTTTTGCCTCTCGAGACGACCTTCAACGAGAACCTCTAAAAGAGAAGAGAGAAGAAAGAAGCTTTTATTATTATCTTTATTTTCTATGGCAAGTGTTTTGAAGGAAAAAAAATTTTTTTTGGGGCTTGGAAAATTTTGTGTGGAAAGAGAAATAAAAAATAATTTTAATTATTTAAAAAATTTAATTTTCTTTTGCAAATACAAAAGTATCAAAATAAAAGAAGAAAATAAAGAATCTTTACAAAATGGAATTTGGCCACAATTTTTTTGTACAAAATTATTTTTTAAAAATTTTAGCAAACAAAAAATATTAGAAGAGGTTTTATTTGTATTGAGTAGATGAGGAAAAATGAAAAGTAGCAAAACAGAGGTGAAATTATTAAGAAGATAAGGAAAGTTGTACATAATTTAAATAAAAAATAAAAATTTTAGAATAAAAACAATTAAAAAAATCCAAAAAAGCTGAAAGAATAAAGGATCCAAAATATATCCAAGAGTATTTAAAAATAGGAGAGAATATTAACAAAATTTTATTTAAAAAATATTTTTTTAAATCGCAAAATAAATAACTAAACGTATTTTAAAGAATGACCAACTAAGTACACATTTAAAAACAATTTTTTTATTTTTCTCTCTCATTTTTCGTTATCTTTCCTTTTTTTCTAAGCCAACAAACAAAATATAAAATGTTTTTATATCCTCTCTCTGTTATTTTTAACCCCTCAACATTTTTGTTGGGAAATAGCAGCAATTCTCGTTGCTCTCCGGCCTTGGTCATTCTTTACTTTACATTTTTATTTCTTCCCCCGTACCAGTCACAGCCAACCACAAAAATAAAATACATACACAAATACTTCCCTTCCCTCCCTTCACAAACCGACCGATGGCCGAGAAAAGCAAAAGCCCACAAATGGCATTAAAAAAAGAAGAAATCAATGATGGGTTGAAGAGAAAATTAAAAAAAAATTTTGGCAGAAAATTGAAAAATATTGGTACTTTTCCGTTATTCCACCTCCCCCTAATAAAAAAGGTGCTGAGTCGACCGAGATATACCGAGATATAGGGCTCGAAATGGTCAAAAATCATAGGGGGAGTAAGCTCATTTTTTTACCCTATATATGACATTTTGAGCGGAAAAGTACCACGGAAAAGCACCAAAATACATATTTTAATAGATTTTTAGCATTAACTCGCAGTAGTTAAAATTTTATTTTTGTAACAAGAAATTTAAAGAAAATATTTCAAAGAATATTTTTAAATTATTAAAAAAATTATTTAGAGAAGAAATTATTAGAAATTATCCCCCCTTATGATTTTTGACCATTTCAAGCCCTATATGTTTTTTATTAGGGGTCAATTTCAATGCTACTTTTTAAATTTTTACCTTTTTAAATAATTACTTTCCTATTTAGTTCAGAAACTTTTTTTATTTAATCAACGTCAATTTCACGTCCGAATTTCAATAGCCACTCCCGCTTAATCTAACATTAAATTTTACATCAGCCTCTTTTCTTTTTTAGTCAAGTAATTTTCCTGATTTCCGGTCAACTAATTTATAGGTAATATTTTTGCCTAATTTTGTCACACACTTTTAGGCTTTTATTTCTTTCTTTGCAAACTTCAAGTAAATCTATCATTTCTCAAAATGAATAATTAAATAAAACTTAAAAGTTCCCGTAAGGTTTTAACTAAACTAGGTAGTCTCGCATAGTTAACGTTGTCCCCTTCTACGTCTCAGATTGTAGTACTCGAGAGGCGAAGTAGAAACGAGATAATATACCTATCAATAATAATTCAACTTAAATAAACTTTTTTTTCGGAAGTACATATAATGAAAACAGAGAAAATATTTTGAAATTAAAAAGTGCAAAAATATTTAAAATGCCCGAGAATTAAAAAAAGGGAAATTAAAAATGATGAATAGGCAAAATTGGGAAGAAAAATAAATGGGAGGAAGATGATGAATATTTATTTTTTCTCACCTCCGAAGGAATAGAAAGGAAGTGAGAAGGATGAAAAAGCATTTTTTGTTTTTATGGGCGGGAAGTTTTTTAAACAAAAAACAATAAAAAATATTTTGGAAATATCCAGTAATTTATTTTTAAGCAGATAAATGGGTTTAAAATGGGTTTAAAAATCCATTAGTGTTGTTTAGTTTTCGGAGTTTAGATAGCACTATAGTGCCCAGAAACTGATAATTACACTAATTATAATAATGACTAGATTAGACATAACAATCCCAACAGTAATAATCTTTAAAGTAATGTTCCTAGGAGGTTCTAGGAGGTTTAATTATTTTTAAATAATTTTTAGAATTCAATAGAAGAAATGTTTTTAAATCCATTGTTAGTACTTAATATTTCCGGAAACCCCAACTTGCCAAAAAGGCTAACCACAATCTCTGAAAAATACTAATTATACCCATTTCTAGTAAAACTTTTCCCTCGAATTCTTTTAATTCCAATCTCAAAACAAAAAATTCTATTCAATTCTCGACTTTAATCACAAAAATAAAATAAACTAAAAACAGTTCCTTTCATCTAAATATCGCCCTAGCACTGCCAGCCTAGTCATTTAAAGGTTAAATAGAGTATATTATTTTAAATTATTTATTTGACAAATTTGGGGATAATATTTAACTAAACAATAAAATCAAGGCACTCGTTTAAGCTGGAAATTTAAGATAATATTTAGATGTATTTTAAGGTTCTTAAGGATTCCAAGCTTACAAAAAGATGAAGGATTAAGTTGAAATAGAAAAGTTAGAGGAATTATTATTATAAATTATAAAATTATAATTATAAAAAATTATTCAAAAATAATTACTAAACTTAATTTTTTAAATAATTTTTAACTTTAAAATTCAATAAAAACCCGCCTTGTGCTCGTACATATTCGTAGGCATCTTCCAAAGTATCTGTTACAGCGGAGGATGAAGAAGAGTTATTCATTGGAGGAATTTGATTATTTTTATTAATATTGATGGAAGTTTTGTTATCCATAAATAATTATCATAATAAATATATTTTCTTTTAATTTTTTTAAAAATATTTTTAAATATAAAAATGCTTAAAATCTTGCTGCAACTCCGAAAAAACGGAAGAATAAAAAACAAAAAAAAGATGAAAAAATGCCTCACAAGTGTGGCCAAAAGTTTGTCAAAAAAACAACATTTTTTTATCTTTTAGTATTACATATGTTTGTGTTTTATGTTTTTGCAAACAGAAAATAAATGAGTAAAAATATGAAAAAAATTAAATAAAAAGATGGGAGTGTGAAGAGAAATAGCACGTTGAAAAAATAGTAAGGGGGGGGGGATAGGGCCCTCACTGTGGGAGTAAGGCCCAGCCTAGCACGGCGCCAAACATTAAAGCTGATGAAAAAAAAGAGAGAAAAAGAGAACACAACAAAAAAGAACGTTCGCTCGAAAAAACTTGCTGCCAGCCGATTTTAGAAAGGGAACTTTTGAGTATTGGAGAAGGAAATAAAAGAGCATTTTATATCCAAAAATAGTTAGGCAGTAGTCTAACAAAGAGCAAAACACAGTTGAAACGAAAGGGAAAGAACAATTGTGAGAACGGATAGAAAGAAACAAAAAACATATTTTTTACTGACAGCCATTGACTTGAAAAAAAACAAATGCGCTTAAAAATTGCGCAATATTTTTGTTGGAATCATATTTTTAACTAATTCTTGAAAAACTACATTCCAAACTAGAGATCGGTCTGGATCCAGCTTGATTTTTTCTGGATCCAGCGTCCAGATCCGGGCATTTTTTTATTGTCCTGGATTTTTTCTGGATCAAGAATCCTGTCCAGATTGCTAATCTAAATCCAGATCCACGATTTTTGAAAATACCTATCTTTATTCCCAACCTGATGTAATATTTTATGACCAATAAACTTTTGACCGTGAGTGTATTATTTTGAGGGCCAATATAAAATAATTTATTTATAAATAAAATTATGTTTTATCCAGCCAACTCCAAGGACTCCTAAATTCTTTGTAAACCTTTCAATACAAAAAATAATAATTATCATTTTATTCATAATTTACACGCATAAACATGTTAGGATTTCAAAACAAAATAAACAATAAATAGGTGTATATTATAATTTAATTATAAGACCAATGAACAAATAAATATTTGGTGGAGAGGAAAATATTTTTTTCAAGTTTTTAGAGAGAAATAAATTTTTTTTGGTGAGACAAGTTTTTTTAAATAATTATTCAAGTTAAACACAGTTGAAACGATAAAAGAGCTATTTTTAAAATGCACCCAAATACCCACAGCAATCATTCAAGCAATTAAATATTTATTTGGAAAGTTAGGAAGCTGACACAATGCGCCTGTATAAATAAAAATTATTAAAATTTAATAAAAATTATAAAATGATATGAAAGGGTTAAATGACCATTCCCAAATATAATAAAAAAATTTTTTTGCTAAAAATTGTGGAAAATTTAAGGCAACATTTTCCTTGTTGTCCGGGGTTTGAGATGATCGTTTAAGAATATTTTCATAGAAGAAACAAACCCAATATGGTCCATCGAAGTAGTGCAATTCCCATCAGAAACGACCATTCCACTACGCGAAACGTGAACTCGCTTAGCTCCACACTTAACATAAGCTTTCTCATCGCTCTAAAAGAAAAATTTTTATAAAGTATATCCCTTTATTTTTAAACCTGAACTTCCATTTCAACATTAGACCCACGAAGATGGATAGTGGACTGACTTGGAGAACAAACAATTTGGCGAGGACGACAAAATACTTCAACATCGCCATCAAGCTTCTGACGAATCAGAAAACCTGAAAAGAATATTTTTTTTAGATTTAAAGTTTTTGAGTAATTTTTGGAGTTTCATCCAAAATTTATTAAAGAATTAAATATTCCAAAATCTCACCATTAATACTGACACTAAATAACATGCCACTTTTCTCCTCATATCTTGCACGGTGAACAATATCATCGCAAGCATAAACTTTTGGAAGCTGAAATTTTAAACATTTTTATTTTCCAAAATTTAAACGTTTTTACATATTCAGCCGAATCATTATAGGACCCAAAAACTTGCGAGTCAACATAAAATTGGCGCAGAGTATAATCATATCGCAACGATGGGAATTGAATACGATCCATAGAGAGAGCAGAAGTGCCACGAGCGGCAGCAGCCGAAACAAGAAAAGCATCTTTCAAATGAGACATGGAGAAAAGAACGCCTTGAGTACCAAGAATTGCCTTAAAGTGAGAGTAGTATCTTGAAAATCATTAACAAAAGTTATAAACTACGAATTTAAATTTAGAAACTTGAACATTAAAATAAGAGTACAGCTCAAGTAGGCGCTCAGCTATAACAGCGCAAAGCCAAAACTTGCTTCAGGATTTCCGAATCTTACCTAATTCAGTATTAAACGATTCCTTTAATCGAGCTAAATAGATTGGTATTAAAGTTGATAAAATATAAGGGCCATAAAATTTTCCAACTAGTTATGGCTTTGTGCCTTCATGGCCGCGCGCCCACTTGGGCGTGTCCCTAAAATAACTCTTAATCCAATTTCTAAAGATTGCTTAAAAAATTAAAAGACACTAACCATTTTCGCCAAATTCACAACAGATCCCTCTTGAGTATTAGCCAATCCATTATCATTAATCAATGGCATACCAATATTCCCAACCATAAAATCAGCAGGTACTTTTGGATGGTTACTCAGGTTCGTACGAATCCAATTGGTATCAGTATTCGGTTTTGGCAATCCAATGCCGCTTTTAGTTGGCGTCTCCAAATTACTATCATTGCCAGGATCTGTCAAATTTTGGGGTAAAATGAGGTAATTCGTGTCCTCACAACTCACAAAAATAACAGAACACTTTATCTTCCTCCTGAAGTATGTGCCCGAATGGATGGAGAATCCCAGACTTTGAGCCCTTATGAGTACTTGAGATCTGTTAAACAAATTTGAGAATATCAACGTAAACAAATAAATTTTAAAAAAATACCGCAAACTTATTCCAGCATACGACACGAATAGAACGATCCAAACTAATTTCAATATTCACATTATGCGCCATGGTGATTGAAATAGTCCCAAATGGTGTGACACAAACCTTCAAAACTACCATTTAAATATTTTCTTTAAACAAGTTACCAATGGATATTTCAACTTTTCGGTTGGCCCTTGCATAGTAGGCAAAGAGGCATTCGCAGTTGTAGTACTAGAGGTATTAAGCATTGTCGATTGGTAAATGCAATTAATTTTTAAGATTGTTAAAAAGTTTTAGCTGAAAATTTTATTATTAAAAATTCCCTTCCCACGAATTTATTTAAGTGTTTACATAAGAAATTAATAACGAATCAGAAATAAGGAAGTCAATTCCATAACCTATTTAACTGTTAATCATTTTATGCGAATAAAAATCACAATAGAAATCCGCTTCAAGAAGTGAAAAAATTAAAAAAATTGGAAGCTTAAAATAAAAATTACAAAATGCCAAACTCTTTTTGTACAAATGCCAAACTCTTTTGTATTATTTTTAAATTTAAAAGAAACAAATTTTTGAACAATTATCTAGTTACTACATCCAGTTAGCAATCTCCTCGATGCCGACCTCAACTGAATTTAAAAAATTAACGGATTATTAAACATTTGCGGATCCGAGTTTTGCGGATCTGAGATTTGCGGACCATTCCTAATTTTCCTTAAAAATTATTTTTTCTTCTTTTACAATCCTTAATAATAAAAAATATGTGGGTGTGTAAATATTGTAATTTAATATAGGATATAAAAACAAAATCAACAATGTTAGAATTTCTTTTACAATTCATTAAAAACCTGACTAAATAGTGCAGAAAATATATAAAAGACAGGAAAGCCAAACATTTACAATAATTTCTTGTTTAAATCTATGTTTGTGTCTTCATTTATTAGAAAGTGAGCGTGGTGAGTGATGTCTGTTTATTGTGTGAGGATTTCCTCAAAATCAAAATAAAATTTCTAGTTTTACGACAATTATAATAAATTTCCATGGTTATACCCGAACATCTTGTTTAGATATCGCAAAGTGTACTAACAAACTTCTCTTAAATTTTTAAAAGTTTTGAGTAAAGATTTAGTAAGCTATTGTGTAGAAAGGCATCTTTCGGCGGATTTATACTATTCCCTAAAATATTTTAAGTATTCTATACGAACTTTAAACTTTTCCGAATTTTAACATTACTCTAAACTTTAATGTCTACTGTGTATACCCATCCATTTAACAACATTCCACACAAATTTTCTTAACATTTTTATGTACTAATATCAAAAAATCTGTTCCATAAAATCAATAAATACAGAAGATCAGGCGAGGATTTGTGTATAAGCTACTTTTTTGTGTAAACAAATGCCGATTCCTTCCACCCACTCGAAAAACGAGCAGCTAAAAAAATGAAAAGAAGGAGAAGGAATTTGGGGGGATCTGTTGAGATTGAGGAAATCAACATGTTTAACATCACTTTACTGTTCTAAAGTTTTCTCATTTTCTTTATTTTTCGCTAAAATCCTTTGCGCATTAAAAGCAAATAAGTAAGTTAAGTTTAAACTTTAAATGTTGCCAAAAAATCAAATCAGATAAATTACTGTAATTTACATGATAGAATAAACTCTAATTTGGTAATTCTTACACTTATTCTTCCTTAGATTTAAACATAATATATCAAATGTTTGATTAATACATAATCAATTTTATCTTATAAAAATTGTTTATAGCCGACATTCAAAATCACCCTAATCTCTCATTTAAAACCAGTTCTAAAGAATCGAATATACAAGGAGAAATTTATTTAAATTAAATTATTTAACTAATTTTTCTTTTAATTTTAAAAGTTAAATTTTTTTAATAAATTTATTTCAAATTTCTTTAATTATTTACTATTTTTAATTTAAATACAAAAAGCAATGTCAGAAGAAGAATAGTTAGTTAAACAATTAATAATGAATAAAATAAAAATATTTTAAGTAGTGAAGAGGAAGAAGTTGAAGTTGATGAATATGTTGCTGAACAAGTTACAAAACCAACAGAAGAGTAAATAAATTAAAAATTTTCTTACCAGAATTATCTAATTAGAATAACCGTAAACTACTAAATCTTTGGGGAAAGAAATTTTATCTTCGATCCCTTTCCTGATTTTTTTATATTATTTGTATAGAAATATTAGAACATTATAGGGGGAGGAAACCCAAAAAAAATTATAGTCAAATAATTTTACACTTAATTTTTGTAAAATCGCCATTTAAAGTCATGCAAAAAGAAGCCGTGAAAGAATTGACATACAAGATGGAGAAGAAAATATGACTGAAGCTGGAAAGGCTATGCTTGTAAATATAAATACATACTTTTCATATAAAAATTAATTTTAAAATTTTTAACTAAAAAAGGCAGCCAAAAAACGGTTGGAAGAAGACGATGCTGCTAAATTACAAGATTATGAAGATCGTCGAAGATTAGAAAGAGAGAGAGAAGAAGAAGAATTGAGAATTTTAAAAGAGAAGCAAGAACAAAGACGTCTTCAAAGAGAAGAGGAAGAAAGGGAACAAGAAGAGAGACGAAAAGCTGAAGAGGAAAGAAGAAAAGCGGAAGAGGTGAAAGAAGGGAAATTAAAGTGAAAATTAAGCTTAAAATATTTTTTAGGAAGAACGTAAAGCCAAATTAGAAGCTCAACGTAAGCAAAAAGAAGAGGAAAAGAAAAAACGTCAACAAATGATGGGGGGAGGAATGCCATTTGCTGTTGGAACACGTTGGGGGATATTTAGAAAATTTTGTTAAGAAAATATTTTTTAGCTACGGGAGGGCGTAATTTTATTTTGCCAGAGAAAAAGAAGGATCAAAGCGAGAAATTTGGGAATATTGTACAGGCTAAACAGGTAATTTTATGTGTGGGATAGGGAAGGGATTGATAAGGAGAGAATGAACCGAGAGATACTCAGAAATAAGAAATTTTCCAAAATGCCAAGAAAAATCATTATGTTGAAAAGCAATATATAGTTGAGTAAATATTTTTCCTAAATATTCTTTCTAAAATATCGGAGATTTTCAATTTTGAACGTCTTAAAAGTTTTATTAAAATTTTGAAAGAGAAATAATTAATTTAAAGGAAATGGGAATGACAAAAGATCAACGAGAAGAAGCCAAAAAGAATTTTGTTGCTCAAGTTATGAAACAATTGGGGGATTTAACTTCTTTAGGTGGATCTGAATTAAAAGTTTGGTTAAAAAAATAAAATAAAAATTAATTAATTAAAAAAGGCAAAATTAAAAGAAATGCATAATAGAATATGTAAATTAGAAGCAGAAAAGTATGATTTGGAAAAGAGACTTCAAACACAAGAATATGATGTAAATTGAACAGAATAATTAAAAAATATTTATTTTTAGTTAAAAGAATTAAATGAACGACAACGTCAAATAAATAGACAAAAATTACAGTCAAAAGGAATGGACCCAAATTCTGCAAATTCTCGATATCCTGTAAAATAAATAATTTAAAAACAAAAAAAATTAGGAAATTTTAATAATTTTTTTATTCACGATTATCTAATTATTAATCTTTTAATTAATATTTTGAGGAATTCTTATTAAATTTAAAAAAGACAGTAAAGCAGCTGGGCTTATACATAGCTATTCCTCTCCTTTAGCTAGTTATGATTTCCGGCTCTTCCGATTACCGACACCTCTGACTGTTCCGGCCCACCTCAGATGCGAACCAGCATCTTCAGTAGACCGGACTAACGTGTTATCCATTACACCACGCCGCCCAACCAATAAAAGCTTTACTAAATTACAACTTTCCCTAAAAAATTCCCTTTTAAATTGGATGAGGAATGGAAAAATAAATATTTAACATTATCTTTAATTTTTATTAATTTTATAAAGCAATTTTAAATTTATTTTCAGCCAAAAGTGGCCATTTTCAGCAAATATGACCGCCAAATTGATCGTCGAAATTTTAATGAAAGAAAATCTCTTTATGATAAAGTAGAAAATTAATTTTAAAAATTAATTTAAAAATTAAAAACTCTTTCCTTTTAAAGAAAAACGCCTTTCCCTGCTTTCCAAATGTTCCACCGCCCCCAACAATTTTAGAATTTAGACCCTTAAATGATGGAGAGCCTAAAAGTCCTGGAATTGAAGAAGAGGATGAACCTGAAGAAAATGGAGCAAAAGAAGAGGAAGATGTGGAGGAAGAAGAGGAAGAAGAAGAGGAGGAGGAGGAAGAATAATGATTAGAAAATAAAATATATAGAAGAAATTTGAAATTAATTTTTGAGAATTTAAATAAATAAACAATAAATTTTTGTGTTTGTTTTTATTAAAGAATTTTAGAATTAAGTAAAAGTCAACGTCATGGAATGAGCGTAGCCCGAATGAGCCTAGCCATGATCGCTGATGTGGATTATTTTTATATTTTTTTCCAAGTTCGGACTCAATACGAGTTATGAGAGACTTTTTAGTAAGTAAAAAGCATGAGTCGTGTATATCAAAAAAATAGGTTAAAAAATCGTTTATTAAAATTGATCATTTTGTATTTGTGATTAGTATTTTTCTAAAATGGATTTAAAAATAAAAATGATTCATTCATTTTTATTTAATATTTTTATTTAAAACTACATATTTTTATTAAAATTTAATAAAAAATAAAAATGTTTTTAAAAAATATTTTATTTAAAATAAATTTAATTATTTTTTTATTTTCAAATAAAATTCAAACAAAGAATATTACTTTAGAAGAAGCTAAAAAGAAATCCCCAATTCCATTTATTGAAAGCTTTTGGTTTTTCCTTTTAATTTAAAATAAATTTATAATAATAATTTTATAGCGGTTTCAACAAGAATTATTTTTATTTGTTACACGGTAATTTGTGTGATGCACCTTTCGATAAAGGAAATAAATGCAGAGATTATGAATTAGAAAAAGAAAATAAAAATGGAACTAAAGTTTTTTTGTTAAAATTTTAGAAAATAAATTGGACTTTAATTAAAAGTGGTATTATGATGATTTTTTAGCAATGTGTTTAAATTTTGGTTATAAAGGATGTGGGGGAAATAAAAATAAATTTAATACAGAAAAAGAATGCCTAAGAAAATGTTATCCAAGTAAGAATTCCATTTTTGTTTGTTTTTTTTAAATTATAATCTCATTCTTTATTTAATAAAATATGTATATCTACTAAATATTGTAAGGAAGAGAATGATCCAACTGGCTAGCATTTAAAACGCTCACTAGGCGGTGGTTTAAGATCTAATAAAAGAGAAGGTGAAAGCAGCGACCCGGTAGCTCATATTGGTAGAGCACCTGTACGTGGTGAGCAAAAGCACATAGCAGTAACTGCCAGGAGGTTGCAGGATCGAAGCCTGCCCGGGATTAAACTTTTACCTCGCTCTTACTATACATATATAATATTTAAAATTAAATTTTTAGTCGATGCAGTTAGTATTTTTCTTTTGTGTTCACTTGGAAAAGAAGAAGATTTAACTAATTGTAAAATGAAACATCCAATGGAAACGGGTTATCAAGAAAGTTTAAATCAATGCCCAGCAGGATATACTTGTAGACGTTTTCTTGAAATGGATCTTTGTTGTAACGATAAAAATTTTGGTATTTAATATTTCTAGAAATAATTTAATATGATTTAAAGAACTATTTTTGAAAAATACTGAACCAAAATGTAAAAACGGGAAAAAAGCTTTGGAATATCTTGGAAAGTTTTGTGAAGATGAATTTTGTCCTTTAAATTCAGAATGTATCCAATTAGAATTATTTGCACATTGTTGTCCAAAATAAATTTGATAAAAAATATTTTTTTATTTTAATTGTTTTCTAGTAAATTTTAAATTGCCAAAAAATTTATTTAAACAAATAACTAGTTTACTAGAATTATATATTTAAAAATTTGTACTCGAATTTTAAAGTATATTTTCTAGTGTTCCACCGGAACCGAAATTTTGACTGGGACCGAAACCAAAAAATGCCGGAACTTTCCAGACCCGAAATCGGAACTTACAATGTAACTTTAATTAGTACTACAATATGCATATATTTAATTATGATTAAAATAAGAATGAATCATTTTTATAAAAATATTTTTTGGGAATTGTTTTTAATGTAAATTAATAATTTAATATTTACAAAATTTAATTACAAAATTTTGATTGATTTTTTTATTTTTTTAATTAAATTAATGAATTTAAATAAATTTGTATTTTCTTTTCAAAATTTTTTGATTAAAATTAATTTAATTTTTTTATTAATAATTAATATTACTTCAATAAATATTACTTTAGAAGAAGCTAAAAAGAAATCCCCAATTCCATTTATTGAAAGCTTCTGGTTTTTATTATTTGAAACAATTAATAAAATTTTATTTTTAAGTGATTCTGATGAGTTAGAATTTTATAATTTTGACCGGCGCGATTGTAGAGAACATTATGATAAAGTTTATGATTGTGGTGAAGGATTGACAATTAATAATTCTGGAATGAAAGTTTGTATATTATTAAAAATAAAGTTGACAATTTTGTTACTGCTAAAAAATTGTCAAAAATATGTAACGAAGGTCATTTCAAACCGAGTAACAGCCGTAGAAATAAATATTTGTTCTAAATTAATGAAATTTTGTAGCTGTCAGATACCTTCATTCAAAGCTTTTAATTATATAATAAGAATAATTTAAGTGGTATCTTGATAAAGAGCTACAATTGTGTTTGCCTTTTGGTTATAAAGGATGTGGGGGAAATGGGAATAGATTTATATCACGAAGGCAATGTAATAAATGCCCTCGTCTTCGTATGTTCTTTTAATTGGCTGTACATAGTATAGTACGTGGAACTGCACCGATTTACCGAAATCGGGAATTTTTTCGGCTTGTTCCCTACACACTGTTCTTCGTTTAGTTCGAAAAAATTTTGAGGTTCGCGCAGATATGCTTGAAGTACGGTCTTAAATTTGCCGAGCTGAGTTCGAATATGTAATCCCTTTTTCTAGGAGGCGAAAACTCGCATAGATACAAGTCCCTTAAGACGAAAACCCATAGGGGAAGTAGGCTGATTTTTGAAATTAAAATATTCTCTCCTATGGGTTTTCGTTTGTTTCTACCCATCACATAAGGCCTCCGACAATCCAATGAGCTAACATTTGTATAATCGAATTTACCGGCATATATTTCAATTAAGTTTGTGTGCCCACGTATTATACCGGCCCCTTTTGATTTAGCGAAAAATATAATTCTTTAGAAGACCTGGAATATTATAGTCTTCGCTGTAATCTAGGAGATGAAAATGGAGAACTATTTATATGCGAATATATATCTGGCGAATGGCCTCAAGAAATATGGTCGTGCCCTACAGGCTATGAATGTATTGGTGGACTATTTTCCCCTAAATGTTGTAATACTAAAAATCAACGTATGTTGAATATTTTAATTTTAAATTAAATTTTTAGAAATATATTATAAAAATACAAGCAATAAACCAAAATGTAAAAATGGCAAAAATCCGTCCGAACATTACGGAAAGTCTTGTGAGGACGAATTTTGTTCCCAAGAGGAGGAATGTATTCAATTAGAAATATTTGCTCATTGCTGTCCTAAATAAATTAAATTCTCGAATAAATTTCACCTGTAAAATAATTTTAATTAAAATTAATAAAATAAAAAGAATTTAAAAATTGTCTTCAAGCTTCTAAACCATATAAACAGAGTTTGATTGGTATCAGAACCATAATTATTTAAAAAATAGGAAAACACTAGTAATATTGAAATTGGTTAATTAAAATTTAAAGTTTTAAGTTTAAGTTCTAATAAATATATTTGTAATTAAAAGAAAATAAAACGTTTTTTTAATTTTCAAATTAATTAATCATCCTTTTAATTTCAATAAATTAGTGTAATAACAATTTTATTTTTATTTCTTTTTAGCAAACATTAAAGTTTTTTTCTGCTCATTTTCTTTAACTAATTTTTTATTTTTATTAAACTAACAAACTTTTTTGTTTTTTTAAATCATAATTGTAAGCATAAAGCTATTTAATTCCTAAGGTATGCAGTAGGCGGCGTGGTGTAACACATAACACACCAGTCCGGTCTACTGAAGATACTGGTTCGTTCCCGAATAACCATTTGCACTAGCTGAAGGAGAGAAATAGTATTAATCTTATTTTTTATTTTATAGGATATAACCACTAGGTATATAATTATTTAAAATAAAATTTTTTAGTGGATGCATTTAGTATTTTTCTTTTGTGTTCACTTGGAAAAGAAGAAAATTTAACTAAATGTGAAATGAAATATCCAATGGAAACGAGTTATCAACAAAGTTTAAATCAATGTCCAACAGGCTATACTTGTATACGTTTTTTTGATGTGTATCTTTGTTGTAACGATAAAAATTTAGGTATTTAATATTCTTAAAAATAATATAAAATAATTTAAAGAAATATATAAGAAAAATACTGAACGAAAATGTAAAAACGGGAAAAAAGCTTTGGAATATCTTGGAAAGTTTTGTGAAGATGAATTTTGTCCTTTAAATTCAGAATGTATCCAATTAGAAATATTTGCACATTGTTGCCCAAAATAAATTTGTTTAAAATAATTTTTATTTTATTTGTTTTCTAGTAAATTTTAAATTGCCAAAAATTTATCTAACAAATTACTAATTTACTAGAATTATAAATTTAAAAATTTGTACTCGACTTTTAAGGTATATCTGCAAGTGTATATTAGCACTAGTTTTCACTGGAACCGAAATTTTGACCTGAACCGAAACCAAAAAACGCCGGGACTTTCTTTAACCGGAATCGGAACTTCAGATGAAACTCTAATTAGCACTACAATGTGCATATATTTAATATACATAAAGTAATTAAAGTAAAAATGAATCATTTTTATAAAAATATTTTATGTGAATTGTTTTTAATAAAGAATAATAATTTATTTAGCAAAATTAAATTATAAAATTTTTAGTTGATTTTTAAATTAAATAAATTTAATGAATAAATTTATATTTTCTTTTCAAAATTTTTTAATTAAAATTAATTTAATTTCTTTATTATTAATTAATATTAATTCAAAAAATATTACTTTAGAAGAAGCTAAAAAGAAATCACCAATTCCATTTATTGAAAGTTTTTGGTTTTTAATTCTTAAAAAAAATTAGTAAAATGTTATTTTTAAGTAATTCTGACAAGTTAGAATTCTATAATCTTGATTTGAGAGATTGTTAT